TGAGGGGAGGAAGAGGAGGAGGAGGAGGAGACCTGTATGCATCTCGGCAAGGATGAGGCCAAGGCTCCAGGTGTCGATGGGGTAGGAGTAGGGGAGGTGTAGAAGAACTTCAGGCGAGCGATAGTAGCGCGACTGAATGTAAGTGAAGGGCTGCAAAGAGAGCAGGAAGTTTGCGCAGAGGGGAGGAGAAGCAAGGAGGATGAAAGGGAGGAGGCAGGAGGAGGAGAAGCGAGGAGGAGGAGAAGCGAGGAGGAGGTCAGTTGGAGTCTCAAGTCATGAGATGGTTCAACCTGTCTTCTTGACGAGCAGCTGCTGCCAAAGTCGATGACCTTCAGCCTGAAAGAAGCGGAGGAGATGAGAAGGAGGGGAGAGAAGGAGGACGGAAGAGAAATGTGGGGGAAGGAGTGGGAAGTGGTGGAAGCAAGGTGAGGGAATTTGTGCGTTCAGCGGTGCGAGGGAGCTGTCAAGGGAGGAGAGAGCAGCAAAACCTGTGATCGTCTGTCTTGACTAGCATGACGTTTTCCGGCTGTGGAAGGACGAGGAGGAACGAGGTTGTCATGAGATTGATTTGACTTTTTTCTTTGTTTCACCTTGAGATCGCAGTGGATGATGTCGACCTCTGGCCTTGAGAGGAACTGAAGAGAAGGAAAGGAGTGAGAGGAGGAGAGAGAGAGGAGGAGGAGAGGAGGAGGAGAGGAGGAGGAGAGGAGGAGAGGAGGGAGACGGGGAAGGAGGAGAGGAGGGAGACGGGGAAGGAGGAAGACCAAAGGAGGAAGGGTCAGAGGGAAAAGTTGAGGAGAGAGAAGGAATGAGACTGTTTGAAGAACAGAAGTGGAGGAAGAGGGAGGGAGGAGGAGATGAGATAGCAGAGGGGAGGAGGAGGTGTTGGTCACCTCAAGAGTGCCAAGGAGGTTCCTTGCAAACTTGTGGACGAGATGCAGACTGACGCCATTGAACTTGGTGTACCTGCCGGAGGGGAGGCAGGGACTGAGCGACATGGCAGGGGAGGAGAGGAAAGAGGAGGAGAGGGGAGAAAAGGAGAGGAGAGGAGAGGAGAGGGGAGAAAAGGAGGGGAAGGAGAGGAGAGGAGAGTGGAGCGGAGGGAAGTAGACGAGGGACGAGAAGAGAGGAGGAGAGGAGGAGAGGATAGTAGAAGAGAGGAGAGGAGAAGAGAGGAGAGGATAGGATAGGATAGGAGAGGAGAGGAGAGGAGAGGAGAGGAGACAGGTGGAGAAGGGGATGACGGGAGAGGGGGGGGGGGGGGAGGAAAGGAGGAGGATGCCTACTTGATGAGGTCGTACAAGGTGAGCGGTAAGAGCTCGAAGACCATACAGACATGATTCCTGAATTCAAAGTTGTCCAGCAGAGTCACCTGAAGATCTCCTTCAGCTCGCATCTCGAGATCGTCATGCAGTCAGCGAGCGCCATGGCGAAACTCACAACGTTGGCATGCTCAGCAAAGGGAGCCCCTTGCATCTGAACTTTGAGCAGCTTCTTCAACACCGAGATCTCAAACCTGGACATGCAGAACAACAGAACCATCATTACAACAAGTGCTGCCTCTCCCTCCACTCTTCACTATCAACAACCCATCGACGCAAATCAGGTTCTCACCTCGCTTGTTCTGCCCAGTGTCGATGATTCTTTACGATCTTGATCGCTACTTCTCTCCCGCTCCTCATGTCCTTCCCGAGTGCAACCTGGTCGACATTTACAACTTCTCCTCCTCCTTACTCCTCTCCCCACCTGTCCGAACGATCCCTTCCCCAGCAGCGGAGAGTTTGAGTTTGCCTTTCTGTGCAGCACGTACCGCTCCTTGATCACATCGCCATCCTGCCACGGAGACGTCAGCATCGACCGTGTAGTCAAACACGTCAAAGTTGCTCCGACCCGGATGATGTAGTCCCCGTTCTCATCGTCATGGTCCTCGTTGCGGGCTGAATTAGCCTCGTAATACTTGCGATTGATCCCCTCGTACGTCGCCAGGAGCTGGCAGTCGCCATCAGTCAACGGGCCGCAAACTTCAACTTCCCACCTCGTGAGTCAACAGCCTCACAGGGTTTCTCCTCTTCACCACCTACAGCAAAAGCGGTTGCGTCAGGACTTGCGTTGACATCTGCGATCTTCTCCTCCTCAAGACAGATATTTCACCTCCTCCGTCACTTCTCCGCGCTGCAAGACGTCATGGTCGCTTGACTCGACCATCATCTCGCTGTCCAGACTCCCGCGCGGCTCCAGACCATGATGGTTGCTATCAGTTACCAACTCCTGTTCAGACTCAGTCGTCAGGTCGCAGCAAGCAGCGCGTGCGGGCAGACATGTTTCGTGGGACTCGACTCCATCGGATCGTCACCCGAGGTCTCGTCGTGCTTGCTCTCCTCCTCTAGCCTGCTCTTCGTGCTCGACGAAGCTCGTCGTCTCCTTGTCTCCACCTCCATGTTGTGGTCCGCGCTCTCCTCACGCTCCGAACTGCTCTCATGCCTCAGACCGAAGCTGTCCTGCGGCCTCTGCAGTGCTCTGGATCTGCTCCGCGTGACGACACTCGACGTCGCCGCAGCGGCGTGCAGGGAGGGTTCCATGCTCCAGGAAAGCTAGAAGCCGAAGCCCGCAGACACAGCAGGAGGGACAGCCAGAGCTTGCCAGGAAAGTCTTTGAAACACGCGAATCGGTCAGTCCGAAGGCTAGGGATACAGGGGAACTTGGCTCAAGTTGATCGGCTTCGAATCAGGCCAACACCAGTGCTCACAACAACGCAGCATTCAAACGCAACAAATGCCCAAGAAACAACAAGAGGTCGGAGGGGAAGAAGAGCAATACTTATGGAAGTGGAACAGACAGGAGGAGAAGAGGAAAGATGAGAGGAGGAAGGCTGGAGATGAGGAGGACGAGAGGAACTTCAATCCGATTCTGGAAAAGGACGGGAACTCTGAGCTAAGACAAGGGGAGTCAAGGCAAGGGAGAGGAGGGCAGAGGGCCTGGAGACAAGAGGGGAGGAGGGAGTCGAAGAGCAGAGGGAGGAAGCAGCAGGAGGAAACGGTTGGGGGTGAAGGAGTGAGGCGGCGGAAGGCTCAGCATGGAGGAACCAGGCGGCTGAACGCTCCTTCACCCGCCTTGCATTCAAACAGCAGGCTAGGACACCGTAGGGCTCGTAGTCGGGTCCTACCATGGACATAGGTCCATAGGTAAGGTATCAGGAGTCCATTCGTAAGAAGGTCCTAGTAGGGGTCAAACCCTAGCACCAAGACTTACTGGGCTACGAACTTTTTTCGGTACAAGTCTTGGTGTACCTTAGGTCCTAGTAATGACCTAGGACATCACTACCTAGGACAGTGCCGCACCCCACCTACAATGCCCTATAGGATATACCGGGAAAACGCACGGGTACACCAAATATTCCGTCAAAGGAACGACGATTGTTCTGTGTAAAGAACAAGAAGGAATTCTTGTGCTGAGCGGGGATGAGGGTACATTCCTGGGCCATGCAAGCGACGACGCTGGTCCTGCCATCCCTGGTGATCCTCGCGGCCTACGCGCGAAGAAGCCTCGACGTGTCTGGTGCTGTGAGTGAAACAAACAATCCTGCTCCTGCTCCTGCTCCTGCTCCTGCTCCTGCTCCTGCTCCTGCTCCTGCTCCTGCTCCTGCTCCTGTTCTTACCTTCCACTCCGCTCCCTCTTGTGACCTCGAAATTTGCTGCAACTCGCTGTGTCTGTTACCGCACATTGATATCTCCTCTTCGTTTCTTCTGCAAGGATCTTTCAACTTCACTCACAGCATAATCTTACGATGTGCGCGACTTCCTCTGAATGAGCACTTCAGGTCGCCGGCTGGTTTGTGGGAGCGACGTGCTCGATGGCAGGCGGGAAGTTCTCAACGACGTAACGCGGACGAGCAATGTTGACGTATGGGAATGAGACGTGTGCAGGCTGATAGCTTTCTTCGTGACATCCAGTCTGCTCACGAAGATGGGAGCGAAGAGCAAGAAAGCGATTGATGCAGACTACAAGGACGGGGGACAGAGAAACTGGGTCCAGGTAAACGCCATGGACACTTGAAAGGTGTTGGTGTCGACTGAGTGATCTGCAGGTGCTGAGCAATGGGCTGGGAGGGACCATTGCTTGCCTCTGCATCGTAGCGTCCAGGAATTATCCTGACAATTTCCGATCAATAAGGTTGGACGTGGTTGAAGGATGAGAGAGGGGAAGTGGGGAGGAGAGGGGAGGGGACGGGAAGGGGACGGGAAGGGAAGGGGACGGGAAGGGAAGGGAAGGGATGAGACGAGATGTGGTGGCAGCGGAGGGACATGAGTTCGAGGGGAGGAGCGGGGAGCTTGAGCTTGCTGATCGCTGGGCAGAGACCCCGAAGTGATGTTCGAGGTAGCCTTCCTGAGCCACTTCGCCTGCTGTTGCGGAGACACGTGGGCGTCAGAGACAGGAACGGCTTTCTCAGGTCCGCGGTGAGCAGGAGGGGAACTGGACTAGTCACCTCCTGTTCCCAGGGCCCCTGTCAGAGTCTTTCCTCCTGACCTCCTTGCGGCGAGTGCCTCGTGGGACCAACGGAGGCATCTCCGTCATCGGGACGCTGGCAAGCCTGCTGGGAGGTAGAGGAGGAGGAGGTAGCCTAGAGGGCCGGATGGGCTGACGATCGCTCAGGATGCTTCGTTGGCCTTGTCTTCGCTCTGTGCGGGAGCTCTCTTACCCTGCCCTCCACCATCATCGTTGGTGCTGTGAGTCTCGGTGGAACAGGAGGCAGGGCATGAAGATGCTGCGAGCAGGCGGCAGGGCTAGGAGGATCTCTTCTAGACTCACTCCTGGGCGCCACGTTGCAGTACTCCGGGGTTTATCGTGGAGGGGACAAGGATGGCAAGGCGCGGCAGGGCAAGGGAGGAGCAGGATGCTGACGTCATCGCAGATCTCCAACTCGCCAGGTCCCGGCGTCAAGCATGTCAGTGGATCAGACGTTCTCGACAACCACCAGGTGGGGCCTGTGGAGCCTGACTAACGTCGGCGTTTGACGCGCGTTGCAAGGTGAACCTGGTGTCCTCGCTCGTCACGTCCATGACGGCAGCTGCGCTCGTCCATCTCCTGTGAGCCGACCAGCTGGCATCAAGTTTGTACAGTTAGCATCCTACCGCATGTCTTTCGTTATTCAATCCCATCTCATCAAAGTATACAAGTCAAACACCATCTCTCTGATACTTTCTCGCCCTTTCTCACCACAGCTTGAACCAGCCCTGTGCCGCTCCACTCACCGCCTGCTTCCCTGAGGGCTCAGCTTTCCCATGCTGAACGGCACTCGACACCTTGGGTGAACTCGTAGTGCTTGCAGGAAGCGACGACTGCGATGCTGCGACGTCCTTGAGGGACATGCCGTACCTTCCAAGGATGGCAACAGCAGCTGCCGAGGACTTAGTGAGCGCCTCAGCCTGGGCTCTCTTCTTCTGGATCTGCAGCTCCAGGCTGGAGGCATCCTGGCCGACGGCCGACTGTCTGGTGCCGATCTTGTTCATGGTAGAGACATACTTCCTCTCAGCGGCCAGAAGGTTTGCTTCAGCCGTGCTCCTGGTAGCAGCCTTGGCCATCTGCACCCCGACCAATCCAGCGTTGGCGATTCTGGCCGCCTTCATCTCGTGGAGGTTCTGCTTGAGATTCTTGAGCTGCTTCCTCTCGGAGCTGTAGACCTTCTTCTCCATGTCCTCCAGCCTTCCATCGCTCATCGCCGACATCCTCACGGCGTTTGACTCCTTCTTCGGCATCATGTCTGCAGCATTCAAGTCCTTGTTCCACTGGGAGCTCTCGATATCGCTTCCTGGATCCACAAAGGACTTGGAAAGGAGCTGCTTCTTCACGAGGGTTTCTCCAGCCTTCCACTTCTGCCTCTCCTCGGAGTACAAGGAGGACGCGGACTTGACTGCTGCCCTGATGGGCCCGATGGACTTCTCAGCTCTCCGCAGCTCCTGAGCCACATGCTTGACATCAACAGGAACATCCCTTCCGAGATTCTCGCTGCCAACATCCTGCTGGAACTTGGAGGCGGCGGCCAAGAGGGAGCTGTCGAGCGCAATCTTGGCGTTGGTCTGCTTTTCCGCCTGCTCGACGGTATCGAGGAGCTCGGCAGAGTTCTGGAGCTTGGCAGCCTCCAGGGTTCTCATCTGCTTCACAGAGGTTCCCCAGACCTTCTTCATGTTCTGCCTGTCAAGGCGCTGCTGCTGAGTGATCTTGTTGTCCATCGCAATGGCTTCAGTCAAAGCGTTGGCGTCGTTCACAGGGAGGGACGAAGGATCAACGTTCAACGAGGAGAGGGCATTGGAGAGAGTAGTCGACGAAACCTTCCTGTCAAACATCTTGGACCTGGCATGAGGCACCGTGGACCTGACCTCTGCCAGCACCTTCTGAGCGTTGGAAAGCCTGTCCAGCTCTCCAAACTGAACGGATTCGGCGGACAACTGAGGATGCAAGTCGCTGTTGTCGATCTCCAAGTCCTGGAAGCCCTTGCCGTCCATGCACATGTCATAGCACGCACGTGCAGCATGAGAGCTCGACAGGTCGCTCGAGTAGCCCTTAGCTTCGCACGACTGCTTGCAAGAGAAGGAAGTCGGGTTGGTGTCTGCAGCAGCCTTCTTGGCGCTGGGCTTGCCCGAGATCATGTTAGAAGCCTCCTGGAGGATCTGTGACCAGCCGTCCTCGGAGGACATGAGATGGGCCCCATCCTTCTTCCCCTTCACGCTCTTGAGGTTGGACACTACCTCTCCTCCAAAGTTCTTGAGGTGCTTGAGCTGATCCCATTCCTTCAGCACGGGCCCACTGCCCGCCAGGGACCTCCTGATCTCTGCAGTATGCGAGTCAGCCCTGCGATCTCCGTTCTTGAGGAGGAGCTGTTGCCTCAGGCCTGCCAAGGTGCTGTCGGCACCTGGGCTGCTGATCGCCACCACTCCAACAACTGCGAACAGAACGACGAAGAGGACTGGCCACCTCGAGTTGCCCTCCGAGAAGAAGTTGGAGATGCGGGACCCAAGGCCCTGAGGCTGCTGCTTTTCTGCTCTATGCGTCAGGTCGTGCGCAGGAGCAGGGCGTCGTGCGCGTCACCTTGAACTGCGTCTTCTACTGCCATGTTGAGACGACCGCCGTTACGGAGCAGAGCACTTCAACACTCCTATGAACAGGCAACCAACCTTGCAACGCCTAGATACGCATGTCAAGATAATTTGAGGGAGAAGGCAAAGGCGGGATTCTGCTTTCCAGGCACGCTCCTATCTCATTGGGCAAGGCACTCCTGGTTCCATCTATACCTGCTCGACCATTCGCTCTCTTGCTCGCTCTCTATCAACTTCCTCCACCTTTCCTCACTCCTGTCTCTTGCTCCCTCTTTTTACGTCTCTCCCTCCCCTCCCTCCCTCCCTCCCTCCCTCCTCTCCCTCCTCTCCCTCCCCTCCCTCCTCTGCCTCCCTCCCTCTTCCGAAGCATATTTACCGAAGAGCCGTCCGTTTCAGAATTGTAACGGCTGGCTATTCATCAAACTAGTGGACATAGGTGGGTGGGGTCAATCGAGAGGGTGGGTGTTATACTGTACCCCTGTCAATAAAGTAGAAGTGGGGGGTACTTTATGGTATTTGTAGGGTAGAAACGGAAATAATGATAAATTCCATTGAGGGGTGGGTGCTGTGAGAGAGTCTGGCGATGGGGCCTGACGCGATCTTTGCGAAACAGCAGCGAGAGATGCTGAAGAGCAGGTGAGGAAGAGAGGGGAGGGGAAGAGAGGGGAAGGGAGAGGAGAGGAGAGGAGGAGAGGAGAGGAGGAGAGGAGAGGAGGGGGTGGAGGAAGATCGCTTAGGGTTCGGAGAGGAAGAGGAGATGGAATGGATGATGACGATGATTTGGCTATGCCGGAAGCAAATATATTGTTTCTGCTTCTGCTGGTGTTTCAGCTGCTCCTGACAGTGATGATGGATATGGATGTGGTGGTCGTGGTCGTGGTCGTGTTGATAATGGTTGTGGTGTTGATGATCGCCACGATAGTAGTGATAAATGATGTAGTGCTGCTGTAAGCTGAAGGAATGATTTTGATCACTTTGTTGATGATACTGATCATGATGCGTCATGTAAATGTGATGTGTTGATGATTTGGTATGTTTGTACATGGCGAGTTGAAAAGTTATGCATGAGTATGTTATGATGGTATCGAGTGAAAATGAATATTTTTCTTACTGATCATGTCAATTTTTCTTACTGATTATTGATATCAAAGCGCTCTGTGTACAGTGTATAAATGAGATTTTGACAGAGGGCTGATGTTTCCTGGTTGACGATTAGAATGCTTCTTATGATTGGTTTTGTGTTCTTTGTTGCGTGTCGAAGTGTGGTATTAGTCCATTTACCATCAGCAATCCAGCTGTTAGACACGCTGTTCTTGTGCTCACTCCTGGTCATAGCGATTTAATGTTGCTGAGCTCCCTCCTATCGAAACGTGTTGTCGTTAATCGTTGATGTTGTTGTCGTTGATGTTGTTGTTCTTGTTGTGCTCCCAATCTAACCTTATGACCTCAGAATGCCTTCTCCTCCTCACAGCAAGGCTGCCATCGACGCGGCAAAGCTTCTCAATGTGAGGCCTGAGAATCTTCTGATCGCTCCCTTTGACGTTTATCTTGCAGCTGAAGCGATTCTCTCTGTCATCCAACATGAATATGGAGCATGCCTCCATGGTCGTCAACAGACTGGTATGCCGATCCCTGCGCCCTTTTGCCTTCCCTGACTGCTTCTATCAGTTGAAGTTCTAAGGCTAGCTGGGGGAGAATTTTTGTGGAGGAAATCGAAAGCAGAAGGAACCACATATGATGTGAAAGTAGAAACATTTCACATAACATCAACTTGAACATCTGTCTGACAGCTTGCATGCTCGACGTCACTGCGTCCCCTCTCCCTCCCTCATCGCGTCTGCCTGCTCACGTTTCTTTGTCCTGGTCTCCGTAGAGAGGTAACCAGGTCGCCCGCCAGGTCAGCAGGAGGGAGCACTTGCCCCTTGATGTCGGTCAGTCTCAAAGCTTCCTCCTCCTCCTTCGCCTGCCTCTGGTTCTTTTTCCGCAAGACAACTGTCTCCTGCAAGCTCTCGAGATATGCTTGCGGACTTACTTCCTCCCTCCTCCCTCCTCCCTCCTGCCCTCCTGGCGCCTTCTCAGCTGCGCCCCACCCACCATGGTAGCTCCGAAAGGAAGCACGGGTGGTGGTGGCTCCTTCATCTCCTGCATAGAGATTTCCAACGGCCGTTGGGATCCTGACGGTAGTCAGCGGCAGCTCCTCGCCCTTGACCTCCTCGTAGACTTCCCGAGCCAGCAGCCCGAGCCCGTCCCTTGCGAACACCTGCAGCCATCTCAGCAAGACGATAGCTGGCTAGCTGGGAAGCGGGAGAACCTCGCTGTGACCCGCGTGGCTGAGCAGGAGGGCGATGAAGGGGGAAGAATGGATCGGCATGCCGAGCCGAGCGGCGGTCTCGTGGGCCACGTGCAGGGGCAGCCTGAGGCGACGGGATGAGGAGCATGGCAAGAGAAAATCTTGCGAGAGGGGAGGTGGAGGAAGGAAGGACGGGGCAAAGTAGCAGGGAGGAGGAGAGCAGTAGTGGGAGTTGATAGTGGTGAGGAGAATTGGATCAGACGAGTGGTCATACCTGTTGTCTGCATCCCTTATCTTGACGTTCGCACCGCCTCGAATCAAACTCTGAGCTGCCTCCATCACGCCATCCTCGTTGCTGTCGTCTCGAGTTGCCAGGACCTGAACAGTGGTCGTGAGCTAGCAGCGGGAGCAAGCACGATGTCGTCCGACGTGCAGGGGAGCGAATCTGCTGACGTTTTCCTGATGATTCACGTATGCTCCTTTCTCTATCAGCACGTCTACCACAATCTTTGGCGACTTGAGGAAGCGACAAGCGAAGATCAGCGGAGACGAGTTGCCTGCATGGAGGGAGATAGAGATCGTAAGGAGCATCGAGAGCGAGGAGACTTGAGCTCACTAGGGCTTGCATGGTTTGGGTTTGCCTTCGACTCCAGCAGGAAGACCGCCATGGTTGGTTCAACGTTGCAGGACAGGGATTTGAGGATGGGAGTGAGACCTTTGCTCTAGGACAAAACCGTCTCATTTGCTCCTTTTCCTCCCTCTCTTCATCACCCTTGACTTCTTCTCCTCCTCCTCCTCCTCCTCCTCCTCCTCCTCCTCCTCCTCCTCCCTTACATTAAGTTTCTCCATGTCGATCTCTGCTTCCACGAGCAGGTGAGCAGCTGCAATGGACGGATCTTTCGCCCCGCAAACCTGGTCAAGCCCATGAGACAGGAGCCCAGGCTTTGACTTGTTTCGCACTATATGGAGGGGACTGTCTCCGAACTCGTCTTGCGCCTCCAGCTCCTTCGGGCCCGCACCGATACGCCTTAAGATAAGAGAGAGAATCTACTTACACAACAGGCGAAGGAAACGAAGAGCGGTGTCAGTCGCTCGGTCAGACTCTGTCTTCTACCAGCAGCAGCAGCACCAGCAGCAGCAGCATCACCACCACCACCAGCAGCAACTCACATGCTCGCTCTGCAGTGAAGCCGCGATGAGCAAGACCCTCTGACTCTCTCCCTTGATCAGCCGGGCTCCGCATGTGATCAGAAATTCGATGCTGCGAAGGTCAACCCTCTCCACCAAGAAGTATTCCATCCTGTCACAACCTGCTGGTTACAACAACATACACAACGTAGAGCACGTACAACAAGGATCGTTTGAAGGTCTTGCAGACGTGGTTGATGCTTGCTCCATGATTGACGAGAAACTTCACAAGGTTCAAGTGAGCTCGGGGAGCGCATGCAAATCTTCCACGAGAGTCAGAAGCATCAGCCATGAATGCAGAGGATATTTACAGCGCCGTCTGGTCGAACTCATTGGCATAGTTCACGTTTGCATTGGCATCGATCAATCGCTTCACAATCGCCAGGGCAGTCAGTTCGTCTGTCACATGCTGCAGTACGAGATTCAGTCTTGTCCTGGCTCATCGCGCACTACCTTGACTGCTTCGATAAGCGCGGTGTTCTTTCCATTCGAAACCTTCCTATTCACATCTGCCTTCATCTTCAGAAGCTCTTCCACGACCTCTTCTTGTCCTGCTTGAACAGCAATGACCAGCAGCGTTCTTCCTTCCTGCACTCATCGTGTCACTCGCGGCAATCCATGGCGCCAACGCCTTGTAGCATCTCACCCCATCAACTGCGTTGGCGTCGATCCTCATCCTCCTGATCCTACTGTGCGTATCAGGATCCATCCTGTCACGGAAAACTCTCTCCTCCTCCTCCTGCCCACCATCGCACGTCTCCTCTCCGCACCGCAGCCCCTTCCTGTCCTCCCGCCTGCCGGCTGCCCCCTCCTCCCATGCTGGGCCCTGCCTTCAGTGATCTCCCACATCAAGATCAAATGAAAACTTTATAGTTTATTATCATATCACACGCTCATTTCAATTTTTTTATTGCAAGTCCTTTAATTTGTTTCGAGAACTTTATGCAGATGGCAGTTGAGGAGCATCTCCGAAACAAACTTTTCAATGTGGAACACAAGGGTAGGGTACTAAAAGTATCCATTACCCCCATTTTCATATTAGAATGATGGGGGAAACCATGGTGGGTCATGTCATGTGATAGGGTGGGTTAATCGAACATGCTGGAGGGCCCAGCGACATGCACGAGCCTTTGGATGATCGTGGAGGAAGAGGAGGAGCAGGAGAAGAGAACACATGCGAAGGGAGAGGAGAACAAGGAGGAAGAGAGCGACAATATCGGGGAGAAGGAGGAGCCCAGTCAAGGACAGGATGATGTCGAGGACAAGGAGGTACCAGCAACGACCTCGGATGGCTCCGAGTTGGTTGGGCTGCATCAGGACAGGAAGACCTCCGTCAGCCAAGTACCGCCAGCATCCATCATGTTGAATCCTGTGGACAGGTGCACAGGGTAGCATGAGAATCGTATGCAGCTGAAACAGATGCAGGTTCAATATCGATGGCAGTTTGGATAGCCTATTTGAGTGCATGGATGAAAGTGTGGAAAGCAAGAATGTCAGCCACCTGTTGGCACAGAACCGAGTACATCCATTGCAGCTGTATTGTCATGAATGTGCTCACGACTTCCCTCCAGGATCTCCAGACCGCCCTCAATGCCGCTCTTGAAGTATCTATCCTCACGCTATGTTTCAGATTCCCCCCGGGTGATTGTTGGTGGCTCCAGGAGTTGAAGAATGTCCAGATCGCCATCCAAGACAAGCATGAAGTTATAGAAACACAAGCTGTGGAGATAGCGGATCTCAAAGAGAAGCTAAAGGCTGCATATGAGGACATCCAGAAGGTACTGTCGCGTGTTACTAGGGCTGCTGTCTCACCGCTGGGGCGTCCGCGCCGGTTGTAGGTGAAGGAGGAGAAGCAGACCGAAGTACGAGCGAAGATCAAGAACATGGAAGAGCTGAACGAGGTGAATACAAGTCACCATCCCTCCTCCTAGACCCTGGGAGTATGACTCATCAACCAGAAAATTGAAAAGATCGCTGACCTCAGAGCGGAAATCTTCAGATTGCAGGAAGAGTTTTCCAAGGTGACTCCAACATCTCTCCAACGCCTGCTTCTTCGTTTCTCTGCTATGCCCTCTACCACTACCGCCCTGCTCTTTCTTTCGCTTCCTATTCAGTCCCATGCATTTCACTCGATACTCGTTCATCTTCGACTGACGAAAACCGCGGATCTGATGATTCTCTTGACTGTTATCAGGAGCACACATATGCGAATGTTCCCGACGTGAGCATAATCTCAGAGATGCGGAGCATACTCGAGCAGGAACAGAAGTCGAAACGGCTCGACATAGCGCGCATTTCCGCCATGCTGGAAGAGAAGCGGGTCCAGGTCCAGACTCGTGTGCGATGCACTTTCTCCTGAGTGGGTAGCGGAGCAGCAAGTTGAGCAGGTAAAACTTGAATACTCGCGTCAACTTCATGCCGCCAACGCCATCATCCTACAAGCCAAGGCCAACGAGAAACGTATGCAGGTTTGACTCTCACACTGCCCTGATTCCAACCAAATGGCCATGGGGTGATTTGCATGATACGAACAGATGGAGCTTGAGAGGAAAGAGCAACAACTTACCCTACGACGCGAGGTTTGTGACACAGAATCAGAAACGCTCTTTTCAAGTTTTCATCCCGGATCGTCTGACTCCTCTTTTTGCAGGGAGATAATCCCTCATTGAATCTGCAAAATGGTGGTGTGTTGAATCATTCAAGGTCTGCTCTTTTGTTGCTGATGATGTCACTTTCATGGATGATGACGATGACGATGACGAGTGTGATTTTCCAATATGCTCTTTGGCGATATGGTAAGAAGACTGATATGTTGATAACGGCAGGTACATGGCAGCAGACACCTCTGACCTGAAAGCAACTTCTACGGTGGAAGTATGATACATTCCCTTCACTTGGAACCCACTCCCACACTTGATCTTGTTCATCCGGGACAGGAATTGAAAGATCAAGGTTGTTTTTGCATTTTGTATAGATATGTTGATTTAAGATAAACCATGGATAGATTTAATTAATCCAATAAGCAATCACGAGCGATCAATTCAAAAGCCCTTGACTCGACAATCTCGATCCACAACCAAACAGAAAGAGGGGTTTACGATTCCTCCTCGCCCGTGATTTCAAGCATTTCCATTTCACACGTCTGATCATCGAGCTTCCTTTTCTTGGCCTCTTTTTTGGTTCCTGGCATTCCCTGCGGATAGATGCCGTCAATTCTACTGAATGTGCCAGGACCGACTTCACACACACAAACACAACAAGCAGTTGCAAATATAGCGGTGTCTACAAATGCGGTTACATACGAGATACCGTTTCGCTCTGCATGCCATATCTAGCCAGCAGCACGACAACGTCCAGTTTGCCATGCATGACAGCCCAGTGTAGGCAGGTCATTTTGTTCTTGTCTTTCATGTTCATAAGCTCATTCCCTCCATGAGCACACAGACATTCAGATGCCTCAAGATTGCCAACACTCGCTGCGGTGTGTAAGCATGTCTTGCCTTCATGATCTGTCGCAAACAGAAGCTGATTTCCACCAACTTGAAGAAGAGCGTTGACAATCATCTTGTTTGTCCTCAACGCTGCAACGTGTAAGCAGGTTCTCCCTTCGTTGTCCACTGCATGGACAAGCTTTTGACCGCCAAAATCAAGAAGGACTTTGATTGTGTCCGACCTGCTTTTCAGGACTGCTTTATGCAAGCATGTAAATCCATTTCTGTCTTGTTTGAATAGAAGCCTTTGTCCTGCAACTTCAAGAAGCTTTGCAACAATGTCTGCGGTTCCATAACAAACTGCAAGGTGCAGGCAAGTATCTCCTTCTTGGTCAGTCGCGTCCAAGAAGTTCTTCTCCTGATCAACTTCATCCTGAAAATAGAATGGTTACTTCACGATCAAACATCTAAAGACAAAATATGTTATACCGGATGCATGATCTCAGATGGATTCTTGAAATCCTGGAGGGCACAAATTTAAATGTCGCAAACATCAGAAACAGTGACTCCATCACAAAGAGTCAGACAGTGTATCATGCACATCAAACAAAGACCTTTTTGCTTACCTCTCTTTGTTCGTCGCAGTCGCTTCCTGTCCAAAACTCTCAACAAGCTTGCGCCTTTCATGTCCTCCCCTACTAACCTTCCATTTCGCAGGTGCCACAAACTTTCGATTTTGGCGGGCTAAAAAAAATCGACCTGTAAAAGAAAAAAGCAATCCAGGAAATGCCTGGAAGGAGGCCGACCATGGCGGCGGCGGCTTTGATGACCCTAGCGACAATGTCATATGCACCTACGTTGTGCTACGGATATCAGGGAACAATCAGGCTCACCAGTCTGCATTGGGGCGTCAAAAACACTCCGTCAAGTTGCTACTTTGCTTCCGACGATGGCCAAAGGTGATCTTGCTTCAGGTTCTAGTCCAATCGTTAGTGCCCTGAATGTACGAGTGCAGAAGGTCGTGTCCGAGGTTGGTAGGGTTGAATATGAAGGTTAACAAATGCTCTTTTTGAAGAAGATGCTTATCTTGGACACTTTAGAAAGGTGACAAAGATCCATACAAGGGGCTTTCACCAGAAGACAAGCAGAAAGGAAAGCAACTTGCAGCAGCATGGATAAAGATGGATAAAGCTGCAGAATGCAAGACAATTCTGCAAGTAAGATACATGTTCTAATTTCATTCAAGTCTTGCAACTGATCGTGTTGTAGCAACGAAGTATTTACCTCGTTGGATTGCCTGCAATTGGAATCGAACAGATCGGGAGTCTTATTGCGAGAAGATTTGAAAATTACAGGTACCGTAAGCGAAAATCCGTTGGTAGGCCTCATGCACTGTGATGGTTCAGGTACCTGAACATGAACGACGTAATAGCTAGTGCATCTGGCCAAGGAGAAGTGGAGAGTAGCAAGGAGTTGATTTCGAAGATGGTGAAAGGACCCCTGCTGTTAAGACGAACAAAGCAGTCACAGGTTGTTTACAGGGAGAAGAAGCTTTCCGAGAGGTGGAAGAAGCGGTAAGAATGTTTTATTAGGCTTGTTCACTGGAACACCTGACAGTGAGTAGGTGCTAGATCAGCTGCAGGCCTTGCTTCGATCTGTGATCTCGACCGACGCTGGAGTGGTATTAGGAATTTCCGCAGGTTTACACGCCATACGTGACGTTGAGATGTTTTTAAAGGTCTTGAGGCCATCAAACTGGGGCAAGATGAATCAGGGCATCGTCGTCTATGTTGAAGCGTACGAGACTTCCTCCTGGTGCGAGTGAAGGTGTGAATTTGTTTTGCTCAGAGACATCGACAAGCTTGCCGCCCAACAGAGCATCTGGAGCAAAGAGGTGAAGTGAATGAATGAGACAGCTATCCTTTCTTATTCGTGCTTGAAGGAGCTCCAAGATATTCAAGCGCGATGTTCGGAAATGTTCAAGCAGGCGGACGTAAAGGTGAAGATTGACGTGGGGAATGCGGCAGACAACATAGCTGTTTCTATCATCGAGAGCATGACGAGGGAACTAAAGCGAAGCAAACGAGGATCTGGCTCAGCTTCTCCTTAGCTCATTGGCGGGGGGAACTTGCTGGGGGGAACTTGATGCCGCAAAAGTTCAAAGTGAGCTGAGGCAAACTTGATATTTTAATTTGAGCAATTGAAGTTGAAAACCTATGCCTCGATTCCAGGCCTTTTGACGGTGATCTTTGACCTACTCTGCGACCTTAGCTTCTCGAGTCAGATGGCGCCCGCTGGCGATGATACTACTACTTGAAAGCCAGTCAAGCAAAAGTCGATCGTCATAGTTCCACTGCCCGGCGAAGTTGGCCTACCTGGCGCTCTTGCAGGCTAAGCCTCGCGCTGCCGGACGGCTCCAAGGCTTTCCGGGACGGTCACCGTCACAGTGTTGTCAGAGATTCAACTGAGCCTCCGGCCACTGTCATAAGTCACTTGACTCAAAGCTTTCAACGGTTGGGCCGCGTTCAAGTTCACCGTGACAGTCACGGTCGCGGCGCCGGGCCGGTGCCGTAGTACCCGGTAGTACCGTACTGCGGGCACTTTGAAAGAACCGTACGGGCAGTGAGTCCGTGACTCACTGTGAACAGTGTGCCAGGCGGGGCGCCGCGGGGCCCGGCCCAGCTCCACCGCCGGGCGGCCCCGCCGGCCCAGCCGGACTCCGAGGCGGCAGTGAGCCTCGGAGTGGTTCCGAAGTTCGTCACGGGCCCGGCCCGGGACACCCGGCCCTGGATCTCGGATCAGCCCGGGCCGCCATCGGACCGCCGCCGGGGGCAGGCTCCCTATGACTATTGCGACGGTGCCACGGTCCCGCCATGGCACTGGAGCAAAAAGGTCAGCCCCGAGCTGTCAACTTTCAAAGCTGTCAGACTACTCCTTTAATGGAGGCAACTGACCTGAGATTTTTGACCGTCCCGGGCCCCTGTCTGTTTCCCGAACCTGATAATATTCATCGTTTAGCTCCTCAGCAAATTTGATGTTTCTGTGCAACAAATTCAATCTTGTACTGACAACATCTTCTTTAGAACCCCCTGGAGGAAATTACCCGAGGACCGCAGATCAGGGCGCTTCCATTTTTGCTTCTTTTTTTTTTTTTCCTGTTCCAGCAAATTTCGAGAAATTTGACATCGAACTGACGGCTTCTGCTGGTCAAAACAAGGTCAAATCTAGTCAAGTCATGGTCAACCCAAGGTCAAACTCAAGCTTAAAACGGCGGAACCAGAGGATGATTACGGGAAAAAGGGCATGTGGTACTGGTCCTGGTACAAATATTAAAAAGACCTTCGGTAGAAATGAGATTGAGTCACATTTATTGCCGGTACAATAGTTGTAGCGAAGTTGTACCATAATAAGGTTACGTCTCGATGACGGCGGGTGTTGAGGCTATTCGTACCGTTGAAGGGTCAAAAAAAAGAAGAAAAAAGCAATTTTAGGAATGGCCGAAGTAGTATTGTACGATACCCTTTGTGTACCAAAACTATCGATGAGAGACATTTACTAAAATCCTGCAGTACAACAGATGTCACAATAAAGACGATTGTAATCATAAATTTACATTTATTATCCCTTTTGTGGAGGGTAGCAAAGGAAAGCCTGCAGCTCTCAGTAGGGAGGGGTAGCTCTATACGGGAACTTCTATATGCGTCAAACAGGGGTCATGGGGCTGGGGTACTTTGCCTAAGGCGGTGGGGTGGTGCATTTCCATTTTGTCAACAAGAACCCTACCTTAGGGTGGGGTACCAAGGCACATCATTTGTCACGGGGCCGGTGGCAAGAATATAAGGAGGGGTGTAGGCTATGATCGCAGTGCGGAGGGTGAAAGGAGGGGTGGATTGTTCATCAAATTCACGGGTAGTTTGGCGAGGAATGCCGTAGCCCACGGGTCAATCTCTACAGCCTGGGATCAACCAGTAGGGTGGGGGTGGGGGCCGAATGCTTATGTACGTGTTCTTTTTCATGGAAGGGTGGGGTAGTTCTACCTGATAATAGGGGTTATTTTCACCAAGTTTCTGAGGGGGTGGGTGGGTAAGGTCGAGGTTAAATTCTACCGTTTGTGCTAGAAGGCAGGGACAGGTCCCATCGCAGGGGTAGTGCTGAGGTTACAAGAGGGGGTGGGGGTAGTGGGTCAGGACGGTAAAGGAGGTACCCTGAGGGAAAAGGGAAGGACCGGAAAATGCGTGGAAGGGAAGTTCCATGCAGGAGGACTGAGAACTCCTACACAAGAGATCTGTCTCCTGTGAGTGAGAGAAAGATCAAGGTAAGGATGCCGACTCATTGCCTCCCTCCCCTCCTCAATTCCCTGTTTCTCGCTCGAGCAAACTCCCGATACGTGCCCATCTGGCCACGAGATCGGCACTGAATCGAAACTCTGCCATTTGATTCTAAAAGTTCCCTGCTCTCCTCCACGTTGCCGTGATGTTGATGATTTTTCGAGCAGGACTCTACATTGTTCGATCTCAAGTATGCTGAGATGACCGTCGAATCGGGTATGGAATGGAGCAAGAAGAATGGCCTGCCACCCAGTTCACAACGTGACTTCCAAATGCTCATGGACCTTATAAAGCCCGTGGCAATCAACCCTCAGAACATCGCCATCTCACATGAAATTGCCAAAGGAAGCTTCGGTAAAGCTCTATCCTGTATCACCTTACATTGCTGACCCGTGTATGACTTGTCAGGAATGATTTTCAGCGCCAAACTCAACGGCCGAAATGTGGCGGTGAAGAGGATCAGACGGGTGAGCTGAGAAGGATGGCGAGGCTTTCGGTGTCTCTGACTCATGGACTGAAGGATGATGGCGTCGATCTGGCGTGGAAGCTTCGGAACGCCTACCTCGAACTGAACATCATGAACCAGCTCTCCCATCCAAACGTGATTTGATTCTCCCTCTTGATTGTGTCCGTAATGGAGGTTCGTTTCATCAGGTCTTACAGCTCTTCGGAGTCACCATGCAGTTTTCGAGGGATCGTCGCAGCAGCCTCAACTTTGGGTTAGTCTGATCTCTTGCTGCGCATGCCGCACGGTCCTAACTTGCTCTCACGTAGGATTGTGATGGAGCTGTGCAGCGACAGCCTGCAGAAGCACATGCAGAAGAAGAGGCTGAGCCTGTACGACCGGATGAAGTTTGGAGTCGAGATCCTCCAAGGCGTCACTTACTTGCACTCCTCGGGCATCATCCACCGTGACCTCAGCACTCAGAACATCCTGCTGAACCAGCATGGCCGTGTCAAGATTGCAGACTTCGGCTGCGCGAGGAAGGTGAACGACGACGGCGAGTACTTCTCCACGACCATTTCGGGAAGTCCAGCGTACATGGCGCCAGAGCAGATGCACACCAGCCCCTTGACGACCAAGGTGGACGTGTGGGCCCTCGGAGTCATACTGTGGGAGCTTGCTACCCAGAAGCTGCCGTGGGCGGACGAAGCGATGATGGAGAGTCCGACGCGAGTTGCAGACTTCGAGTACTGCAAGAGGAAGATCGTCAAGTGCAGACTGCCGAGGCCGATGTCGAGCGGGTTCGCTCCGAACCTGGCGGAGAGTTACTACAAGCTCATCTGCTCCTGCCATCACTTGAACGCCATCAATCGGTTCTCGTCGAAGCAGGTGTTGGATGAGTTCCTGCAAATCGTTGGATCCGTGGAAGACAAGAAGTTCCAGGACATGGCTCGTACTGCAAGCTTCATGGACAAGCTCATGATCAAGGGCGGAGAAGGCATCTCCCCGAGGTTTACCAAACTTGCGACCAAACTGTTCAACTTCTACACGGCCTACAACCCAGACAAGATACCGGACATTCCGAGCCTTGTGCAGGAGTACGAGAACAACGAGGACAAGCTGAACAAGAACTTGTACGCTCGTTACAAAGTTGATCTCGACTCCTTCGATCGTTTCGAGGGCTCACAATCGACATCCAAGATCGCACCATCCATCGCCAGCAATGCCGACACCTGGCGGAATGGCTACGACTCGGTGCCCTCTAGTTCGGTCTCTACAGCAAACTACGAGCACTCAGGGCACACATGCCACTGCAAAGAAGAAATCTGGTTGGAAGAGAAATCGAAGCTCATTGAGGAGAACAACCAGCTGAGAGAAGAGAAGCGCAAGATGCAAGACGAGCTGTTGTCTCAACGCAACGTCATTACTTCTATGAGGTACATCTCTCTATCTCTCTCTCTCTCTCCTCCCCTGCCTGCCTGCCTGCCTGCCTGCCTGCCTGCCTGATTGTCTCTTTCACTAACGTTTTCTTTTGCTGCAGAAATGAGTTGCAATATCTCCGTCAGGCTCTCAAATCCATGAGAGCGTAAAAAAGCCCGTGCGCCCCATCCTTGGAGTTGTTTGATATTGTACACTATCCTTATCAACTACAATCTTTCATTGAGAGGTGTTGACCATTCTACTAAATAATTGATAGACTAATTCATATTGTTCAACTTCGATTGGTTTGTAAAACAAGCATTGATCGACTCGTCTTCTTGTATCAACTTTATTCTCTCGAGCTTTAATCTCCCTCAATCTCCCCTCTTCAGTGCTTGGTTGGGGGATCAAGTATCCCCTCCTACTTCCAGTCTCACTCCTTGCCGACAAGTTTCACCGCCAAGTCCTGCATGATAGCTTGACCATCGCTCAACATCCATGAAATCTGCAAGGGCATGTTATTCATGACTGACATGCCGGGTCAAGGGCAGCACCGGTCGGAACAGAGGCTTTTCGTTGGCGCACAACCTAGCATGGTTGATGGGGAGCCACCTGAAGGGCTGGGTCAGAGGCCGAGGAGGACTAGATGCGCTGCTTGCTTGAGGGGATTCTTGGAGCGGAAATCGACGGCCACCTTGTTCCACCCGCAGCGATTGAGCGAGTCAGCCTGACGGGTTGAGGTCAGAGGAAGGGGCTGACAACTTCACCGTCCTCACCATCAAGAGGATCAACGGGCTCCATCGCTGTTGACCTCCGCGCTGCCACTCCTCAAGACTTCTCGTCAAGTTCTCCTCGAGCCCGGAGGCGTCCGCAGCTTCCGCCGGCTTCACTTGGTGCTCGTACAACACGTGCTGGCGCGCTCACGTCAGGATAGACGGCCGAAGGGTTCAAGGTCACCTCAGCGCCCTCGAGATGCCGGGCGACGTAGGTGTACATGATCTTGGTTCGAACGCCGTTCTTGGGATGCTTGGCTACGTCCGTGTTGAGCTCCAGCAGGGCGCCTTCGAAGGAAACCAGCGGGTCGCCCTGCCTCGCCAGATGAGGACGCGATGCAGGCAAGGGAGAGAAGGACTACCCAGATCCCAGCAAGAGCGTATCGGACTGGGAAGGAGCTCAGGGGAGTGAGGAAGACGGGGTCCAGCGCCATGGCAGGGACGAGGGGGAAATCGGAGCTCTTGTCTTCCCAGAAGATTTCTTGCACGCTCTTCACATCCTACTTGTCAGTCCCTTGCACCATCCATCCATCCTCCACCTCCCCCTCCACACGACCACCATCACCATCACCATCACCACCACCACCACCACCTCCTCCTCCTCCTCCTCCTGCACCTTCCCCATGGTCTTTCCTATCCACTCCTTGATCAACTTGGGCGCGTGTGCGTTGGAGAAACCGTGAGGGTCCCCGAGGTGCGGAGTTGCTGTGGTGACGAAGTGGACAGGTTCCAGCCCGCAGATTCTCCCTGCATGCTCCTTTCCCTGCCCCATCGGCAGCTCCCATAGGAGCGCCATGCAGTACCGCAGGTACAGCCCGCCGAGGCTGGAGGAGGAGGAGAGTCATCGTTGAGTGCTGGGAGGAGCTTGCGCGCGCACCTGTGCCCTATCATCGAGATCTTCTTCAAGGAGGGCTTGTAGGTCACCTGCATCACGACCACGTCAGAGGACAGGAGGGGCAGGGGACCGCCCTCACCAGCTGGATGATCTCCTCAGCGATTCTGGCGGCGCCCTTGTGAATCCCGTCGCCCGTTCGTCGCTCGTTGACAGCTGCTCAAGATCCTACTGGTCATACACGAGGATGGCGGGCCAACAGGAGGTACCTGGAAGGTGCACGAGGAACTTCTCGCCTGACGCTTTCTGAGCAGAGACGTGAGAGGGAGGCAGAGCCTTGCGATGCCTTACCAGCGTCCTCGCTAGGAAAGATAGATCCTTGGAGGTCCCCGACAGCCCGTGCGACAGGATCTGAGATGGCAAGCCGTCCAGTCAGCTTGCCACTTGGTCGCGATCAAAGAGACTCCATACAAACAAGTGAGAGGGACCAGACTCCTGGACTTCCGCTGCATGGCTGCCAAGTTGAGGTGAGAAGTCGAAACCTCCATCAGTTGACATGATTCCCGATGTTTTGTCATTGCAATCGCTGCCACTATCGCAAAACGACATGCACACCGAGCAGTCACATTGCATCATCACAATCATGACATTCCTGTATGAGATAGGACTCCTGATCCACGTGCAGACTCTGTTCTAACACATCCTCTGCCCTTCCAAAGTCTCATTTACCTCTATCTCCTCCTTCCTCCAATGCCTTCCCTCCCTCCCTCCCTCCCTCCCTATCTCCCTCCCTCCCTCCCTCCCTCCCTCCCTCCCTCCCTCCCTCCATCCCTCCCTCCTCTTCGTATCAACTGATCGCCTTACCTGGTCGTCGTTGTCGCCTCGAGCCTCCTCCTCTCCTCCTCCACCATTCCCCGCCACCATCGCTTCCCGTCCATGGCGACCGTCTCGACAAAAGTCCTCTGGGTGTTGAGTAAAAGTTCTGATCGGGGTGCTGGTATGTGGGGGGATGCGGGATAAGTAGTGCGAATCATGCCCTGCCCAAGGCTGCTGGTGCCGCTGCTTGTGTTGGTGGCGGTGATGGTGGCGGCGAGCAGCGCGGAGGAAGGGAAAGCGAAGGAACATGAGCAGCAAGAAGAGCAGGCAAGGCAGAGAAATGGTCAAATCCATGATGACTCAGGACAAAAATGCAGTAGCGACGACTGGGAGCAGGGGAACAAACTTTTGCAGTCAGGGGATGGTGTCGGGTTGGCAGAGTTGGTGGGCAAGAACGGTCCTTGCTTGCGGAGGAAAGGAGACGGAGGACAAACGTTACTGCATGCAGCTGCGGCCATGGGGCTAGAGAGACCTGTTCGAGAGCTTGTTGAGCTAGGAGCCGAGGTCGACTCTAAAGACGACATGGGCAGGACAGCGCTCATGCATGCGGCATGGGAGAGCCATCCTGCTGTGGTCGACGCTCTGCTTGAACTCGGTGCGGATGCTGCGATAGAGAATGCTGGAGGAGGAACTGCCCTGACTGTGGCGATGAGGAGAAAACGGCCAGCATCAAGTGACAAGCATGGTGACGCAGCGGAGGTGGTGAGGTTGTTGCGGAAGCGCGTTGAGCTGAAAGGAGCGCACAAGGGGTACCAGTGGCATCGCGATGAAGACTGGAAATGGCACGACAGGCGTTCCAACAGGACGGGAAAGGAAGAAATATGATAACAACAGGTTGGCTACCGTATCAACAAGGCCCAGCAGGGGTCCGCCAGCAAGTCCGGCCTCAGACTAGCTCCACGTCTCCTGCAAGTATCTTCGTGTTGCTTCGAGGGTCCGGACGTACTGCTCAGCATCGTCTGCTTGTCCAGCAGAGTTGACCACGTCCACGAACGCCTGGATCTCGCGAGTGAGGATCATGGGGATATGCGCTGAAAGGCTTCCGAGACAGGAGGACAGAGCGAGGAAGGAGGCAGGAGTTGTAGATAAGTGCCAGATCAGGGAGAGAAGAGGAGTGAGAAGGAAGGGGGGGGAGGGGGGAAAGGGAGGAGGAGAAATGAAGGGGCCCAGTATGCGGCAGGAAGCAGGAGAGTCGACCTGTCGCACGTCTCGTGGCATCTTGTCAGAGGAGCCGCACACCATGATGACTCCTCCCTCCTGCAGAGGGCCATCAGCAGGAGAAGAGGAAAACGAAGCTGGAAGAACCTCGAGCGCATGCCACAGGAGAGAAGCCTCCTCCCTGATCTTGTCCTGTACGTAGACTTTCTTGTCCTGACCCAAGAACATCATTGGATATTTCGCAGCTCCTTGCGCACTTTCTCTTTCCCTCCTCACCTGCATCCTTGAATATGCTACAATCAGCCGCTTGAGATGCCCTGCAGACTCGTACTCCTCCAGCTCCGCCCTGTTCACCGGTCAGAAGAAAGAGGGCAACAAAGGCAGTCGCATGCCGGTAGAGAAACTCTTGTGGGGTTCGACAGCCGAACACCAAGACATCATTCATCTGCTCCAGCATCAGTGGCAGACAGTGCAGATGGGATCAGCTCTGCTCGACATGGTTGACGAGGAGAGAAGAAAGGGAGGAGAGGGATGGGAAGATTGGAGCGTATGCAGATTGTGGGAGAGGATGATTCGAGAGAAGGTGAGGAGATTGCAATGTACCTCGGGGGCAGGAAACCCCTTCCTCCAGAGGCTTTCGCGGAAGCTCCTCCGTTCTTGTATAATCGATCTGCTCAGCATGTCACTGGCTTCAGGAATGAACGAAGGAGGAAGAAGGAGGAGGAAGGGAGGAGGGAGGATGGAGGAGGGAGGAGGGAGGAGGGAGGAGGGAGGAGGGAGGAGGGAGGAGGGAGGAGGGAGGAGGGAGGAGTGAAGTCATCTACCGGAAGGGAGCGATCCCAGTCCCTGTCGCCACCATGATAAGTGGTGCGATCAGTTGCGACGTCTCCATCCTCAACTCGTCCTCCACGGTTCCGCCTTCCTTCATCCTCTTGACCCCAGGGATCTGCGGGCATCTGCGTTAGAGGTTCCGTCCTCTGCCCTCCTCCATGACCTTCAAGGTGCCTTCCTTAATGGAGAAGAGGAGCTGGTCCGGATGGGGCGATGTACGCATCTCCTTGAGGTAGGATGTGCATACACCGACCCTCCTCATCTTGGTACGCGAGACGTAGTCGACCATCGCCAGAGTGATGGAGGGTCGATGAGGAGCAACGCGGGGAGAGGAAGAGATGGAGAACTGGCGAGGGCGCAAGGGGGGGATCATGTCAAAGAGGTAAGAGAGAGGAGGACGGGCATCGGGGAAGTCCCGGAAGACCTCCAGGAAAGTCCTCCTCTGCTTCTGGCAGTATTCGTAGAGATCGTCTCTCCCGGACACGCTGCTGAGCTCCTCGATCCTCTCCTTCTGTGTCTTATCGGTAGCAAAGTGGAATAGCAGCTCGAAGAAGTGCCTCCGAGGTGTGTTCATGAAGTCCAAGTGAACAAGGAGGATGTCGCGTACGGCAACCGGCCCAAATCCGCAGAGGAGAGCAGGGAGGGCCGTCTTTGACCTGTGCTGCGGGTTCGGCTCGATCTTCACCATCTCATCCAGATCCAGTTGCATCACCCTACTGAAGTTCTCCACATCCTCCAGGCGATTCGTCGGCTGGACCGCCAGGATGTCTCCTGTCTTATACGGCTGGTTGCACAAGGAGAGATCGACCTCGAGGTGTCTGACCTCCTTTACTGCTCCCTCCCCCGTGATGCTCACGTTCGTTAGGACAGGGGCGATATGAAAGTCTCCACGTGCAAGCTTCATCGTAGCAAGTAGCTGCTGGCCTTCTCGTCCATCGACTGCGCCTAGGCTTCGCTTCCCAACTTTCGATACGCAGAAACGAGAAGGAGGAAGGATGTCTGACAGGTCCGGCACCGAACCTTCCGGAAGAGGATGCAGATGTGCCAGCGCTTTCCATAGCTCAACAGCCCAAACATCCAGCTTTTGATCGTATCCCCCAGAGTCTTGATCATCGCCCAGTCCAAGAGGAAGCATCCTCTTGCCCCCCAGCATCTCCAAACGCTTGTCCAGCCGCTTTGCCACTGCGTTGAACTTGGCATAGCTCGAATCCCCCAGGCCGAAGACAGCGAAGGAGGTGGAAGCGAGAGAGTGAGCAGGAAGGGACTTCTTCAGCAAGAAAGTCCAGAACTTCCTCATATTGTCCGGAGCATCACCCTGTCCCGTCGTGCTCGCTACCGCGATCATGGTGCCTTCAGAGGGGAGGGACAGAACATCGTAGTCGTCCATGGCGCTTACGCGGACCTCGTATCCTCGTCGCTCACAATCCCTGCCCAGCCTTTCGGCAACTTCCTCCGCGCACCCTCCTTGCGAGCCGTACAGGATGAGCAGGGAAGCCATCTCTCCCTTCCCGCTGCACTTCTTCACCTACGTCCTTGCCTCGAAAGAGCGTTCCCCTGCGACAAGTTTGAGCACGGAGAAAGGAAGGTCGGTTCTGTATGGTGTCATTGTTTGCGGTGGTCTGCGAGTCTTCATGCTCGTCAACGACGCTCTTGCATACTACCTCCTTACTACCTCGTTGTCTACCCTCACTATCGTCAACACAATCTTCTTGCGGGCGATTCCGTCAGCTACACCCTTGCGTTCACCTGCACTGTTGATTGCTGCACTGATCTTACTCGTGCTCCTGCTCCTGCTCCTGCTCCACTTCCTGTCTTTATTCACCAGCCATCATGTAAGCTGAAAACATCTCTCAGATCCTCATTGTAACGCACTAGTCTCGCCATTCTTGCTTCTCTCCCTTCTCTTGCACAATCTTCCCGCCATATCTTCACGCTTGCAGTAATGTAGACCTGATTTTGCGCCTCAACCTACCCCCAGGTTTCACTACCCCACCCTAGGATATCCTTTTCCAGATAGACTTTTTCTTCTTTGTGGCCTACCACTACCCCCGAAAACTACTACCCCCACCATATCGTTGTAACTCAACAGTGTGGCACGGTTCAGCTAGAGAAATCGGAGTGAGGGAAGACAGGGGCAGGAAATGAAGGGAATGCCAGGATTCCATGGTCACAATCAGACGCGATCAGAGGAGGAGGAGGAGGAGGAGGAGGAGGAGGAGGTGGGGGGGGGGG